GCATTCTTTCCAATTTAAACACTCTTTTCTCTTATGGCCTAACTTCCCACATTTATGGCATTTGATGGTAACTGGAGGATTCACCCTCTGATCTTCCAGCTGCCCAATTTGAGTTGTCATGTCAATGTAGTATTTACCTGCTTCAACTAGAAGATTATTCATCTGCTCTCTCAACTGTTTTGTCAGCTGCCATAATCTTAATCTAATCTTTAAGCTGTTCTATCTGATATTTCAACTGCTATATCTCATTTGCCATGATTTTTCTCTACTGGCTTTTTCTTTCCTTTTCAACTCTTAGAACCTTTGTCTGCCTTAAAGGTACAGGAGCTCTTTAGCTGTTTCTTTTTACTCTGGAGTCTTAGCTTTTTTACAAAACCTCACTTCCTCTATGTCTTGACCAGCCCCCTTAATCTACCTCAATTCTTTTCTTTTAAACAGAACTCTTAACTGCCAAAAAGGGATTCTGACATTGGCCTCTCAAAAGCTCCTTCCTGCTGGCAATGGGTGAAGATGAAGGGGAAGGCAGTTAGAGGTTCTCTTCCCTAACTTGATAAACTCTCGCAACCTATTCCCAAACTTTTCTCTTTGCTGTTTTATGAAGGCTTTTCTCACCCCTAAGGCTAAAGGCTTGTTTACCAAAGGTTCTTCTTATCTCCTAGTTCTGTCTTTTCTCTTTCCCTCTTGTCTAAAGGCTTTTTTCTGCTTTTTTCTCCAGCCACTTCACAGAAGAGGCTAAAGGCTTTTATTGGCTTTTTTCCCCACAGAAGAGGTAGTTAGAATTTGGAAAGAGAAAACGTAGGAAAGAAGAGGAAAAACCAAATGAGAAATGCCTGTTGTTGGCTGTCTTTCTTAGACATTTCTTTTCCCTCTGAATATTTCTATTTCTCTTCTCTCTTTCTTATTTCCTGAAGCTTATTTCCCTCTCAGTCCGTGTTCACCAAACCCTGCTCACCTCGCCATTTGTCACATCTCACTCCTGACACCACTTGCCAGGGCCGGGACTGGCCAGGTCTCAGGCCCAGCTTAACTAGGTTTCGGACTCGGACCGCTAGGCTATCTTGCTCAGGAACAATTTCTCTTAGGTGCCTGAGGGCTATCTACTTTAACTGGAAAGAGGTATGGAGAATCCTCAAAGAACTCAAACTACAGCTTCAGTTTGATCCTGCAATCCCATTACTGGGCATCTACCCAGAAGAAAAAAAAATCCTTTTATGATAAGGGCATTTGCACTAGACTTGTTTATTGCAGCTCAATTTACAATCACCAAATTTTGGAAAAAACCTAAATGCCCACCAATCCAGGAATGGATTAACAAGCTATGCTATATGTATACCATGGAATACTATTCAGTCTCTATAAAGGATGATGACTTTACATCTTTTGTATTAACCTGGATGGAGGTGGAACACACTCTTAGTCAAAGCATCACAAGAATGGAGAAGCAAGAATCCAATGTACTCAATTCTGATATGAGGACAATTGATGCTAGTACATGGTGGGAATGGGGGAAGGGAGAGAGTGAAGAGGGTAGGGAGCCACAGTGTGTGACACACCTCTTGGGGGCAGGACACAATTATAAGAGGGACTTTACTTAACAAATGTAAGCAGTGTAACCTGGTTCTTTGTACCCTAAATGATTCCCCAACAATTAAGAAAAAAAATAAGTTTGAGTAACACCACCCAGTCCAAGAATAATGTGGAAAGGGCTCTGGGCTTTGTATCAAGCATCCTGACTGTGAATTCTGACTCTACCACTCACTGGTAAATCACCTCACCTCTCTGGCCTTATCTTTCTTCATCTTCACATTGAGGGGTTCAGTTGGTCATTTCCAAGGCTCATCCCAGTTTTGAAATTGTCTTCCTACTTCATACTTGTTTTCCATCTACCTATTACCCATGCCTGTTGCTAAAGCCACTGTGACAAGCAGAATAAAGGTTCTGAAAGCCAAAAGGCATACTGGACTATGCCTTATAGTAAATAACAAATACAAAAGTGTTTTTTCTACTTCTATACCTCTGTCCCCAGTGAGGTAGTGTGCACCAAGGCTATGCTTTGGGAAGCCGGACTCAGCCTACATTATTCCTCTCCTTAGAATCTGTGATTGGGACAGATGTACCATCAGAACAGGTGTCCCTCTTTTTTTGTCTGTCTAGACGCCCCAGTGTTTTCATCACATCCTTCTTTTTCATATGCTATGTCTGTTGCTCCTTCTTTATCTCCAAAGAATTCATTCCCTAAACTTCCTGCATCTAGAGCCAATAAAAAGGTGATTCCCAAAGCAAGAAGTACAAACAGCTAATAAACACATGAAGATGTTTGGCCTCACCATTTGGGGAGGTAGGGTGAGGAATGTAGACTAAAACAGGGAGAAATGGCCAGGTGCCATTTATGCCTGTAATCCTAGCACTCTGGGAGGCCAAGGCAGATGGATTGCCTGAGTTCAGGAGTTCAAGACCAACCTGAGCAAAGTGAGACCCCCAGCTCTACACAACAGAAAATCTAGCCGGGCATTGTAGTGGACATCTGTAGTCCCAGGTACTTGGGAAGCTGAGATAAGAGGATTGCTTGAGCCCAAGAGTTTGAGGTTGCTATGAGCTATGCTGCCACAGCACTCTACCCAGGGCAACAGAGTGAGACTCTATCTCAAAAAAAAAAAAAAAAAGGAGAAATGGACTAACTTACAAACTGGCAAACTATAACAAAAACACCAGTTTGTCCTCAGTTCCACACAAAGGGCATTCCTGCTCACATATGCTGTGCTGCTAAGTGTGAATTACGTTAATGCCTTGGAGAAGCCTTCAACGATAGCTATTTTTTGTGCCAGAATTTGGCATATCCTTTATCCAATAACGCCATTCATGGGAATTTATTTTAAGGAATTACTTTTCTGAGCAAAACTGTCCATATAGGATACTAAGAGAGCAAAACGTTTAAAAACAGCCTAAATGGCCAACAGTGGCTCAAGCAATTCAATTATAGTCATATAATAAAATACTGTACAGCCACTAAAACTTATAGAAGACGACATGAGAAATGTTGATAAATATTTAAAAGAGCAGATGCCAAACCTGCATGTAGCTTATGAGCCTATTTGTGAAAAAGAAAAGAAAGTATAGATAAATTCATAAAAATAAAGAATAAAGGGATATTTAGCTACTTGGTTAGCTGTAGGAGGTAAGCTTGCAGATGACTTTATTTTTTTGTCTTTTTTCCTATCTGTATTTTGACAATGAGCATAAATTAATTTTGCAATAAGAAACATGTTACTATAAAAAAAGAGCCACAGCCCAACTTCTTTCAACACCATGGGCTGAACGTGTGTCCCTCAGATTCCTCCTGCTTAGGTCACAAAAGTTCCTCCTTTTGGTCAACTGTCTGGCTCTATTTTTGTCAAGGAGAATGTTGTTTCAGGATGAAAATATTCCTCGTGCATATGGGAATTGTGTGGTCATGCAGGCCCTCTGAGCTTTGGCATCAGCGGTGGTGCATCCCAGGTCTTCTGGATCTTCCTCCCCAAGTCTGTCCTTATTCTTACCTTTCTTTCTCTGTCCCCATTAGCTTTCTTTTGTCAGCCATTTTAGCTCCTACCTCTCTTGCTGTTCTGGCTACTTATTGCTACATAACAACCCAAAACTTAGTGGCATAATACAAAAACAACCATTCCTTTTGCTCATGAACCTGCAGCTTGTGCAGAGCTTTGGGATCTGGTTAGCTCTGCCCCATGCAGCAGTGGCTTGGCTGGATGGGGAAGGAGAGTCTGCCGTCATGATGGCTCACCCAGATTCTCAGTGCCTTTCCCTGTGGTCTCTCCATAGGCTCAGTTGGGCTTTCTCACAGCATGACAGTTGGACTTAAATAACAGAGTTCATTTTTTCATAGTTCTGGAGGCTGGAAGTCTAGATGAAGGTGTCAGCAGGGCCTGATTTTATTCTAAAGCCTTTCTCCTTGGTTTGTAGGTGGCTGTCCTCTTGCTGTGTCCTCACATGGCACATGCACAACACACATTCCTAGTGTGTCTTCTCTTCATATATAAGGATACCAGTCATTCTGGGGTCAGGTCTACCCTAATGGCCTTACTTTTACTTAATCATCTCTTTAAAGACCTTATCTCCAAAAACACTTACATTCTAAAGTATACTGGGAGTTGAGACTTTAATATATGAATTGGGGGAGGGGAAAATCTGGCTCATAACAGGTTTCAAGAATTAGTACCCGAGAAGAGACAAACAGTGGAAGCTACCACCAACCGGTCCCTTAAGACTTGGACCTGAAAACTAACTGCAGCATTCCCTGTATATTCTATTGGCCAAACAAACATAAAGGGTATGTTCAAAGGGAACAGAACATAGACCCTCATCTCTGGATGGAAGGAGTGTCAGCGAATTTGGGGGCTGTGTTGTAAAACTACCAGCTTTGCTTTGAGCATATTACTGCTCTGAGATGACCTAGCGCTGGGACTGCACCTGTTGTTTTTGTCCCAGCCCTAAGTGAAAATGTGCTTCTTGCTGCTTTAATAGAGTCTGTCAGTTCTACCAATCTCATTTGCTGTGGAATATCCTAGGCTGCTAAGGAAGGTTTTGAATTGAGAGTTAAAGTGACATTATTTGAAAACCACTACTACTTGTACCCTTGTTGTGCCTGAATTAGATGGTAGCTATTCACTGACCGGCAGCTGGAAAACTTAGAGAACAGTTTAATGTCTACTCTACCTTTTCTACCTTCTCTTTATTTCATTACATTTTTCACCATTAAGCATACTACAAAAGATACTTATTTCTTATGTTTTTTTGTCTGTTTTATCCTACCAGATGAATACTCAACCAGTCAAAACAAATATCTGTCTCTTTTATTCTCTGATAAGTACTTAGAACCATGAGTAGTATGTAGTAGGCACTCAATAAATATTTATTGCATAGATAAAAACATAAGTTGATTTTGTGCTTTGTCATTCTAAACTTTAAGTTGTCTGACTGGCAAGCCCATTTTCTCTTCCTAACAGCATAAACAGGCTATCCATGAGCTTGTGCGTTGTGTAGCACTGACAAGAATTTGCTATGGTGACTCACATTGGAAACTAGCAGAGGCCCATGTTAATCTGGCTCAAGGCTACCTCCAGCTGAAAGGTGAGCTCCTCTCAGAGTGATGGGATCCATTGGTTGGTTTCTGCTCTTCTCTCTAAATGTGATTCCCACTTAACTAGAAGGATCAGGGTTTTGAATGTTCTCCTTTCCAAATGTTAAGAAGCCATTTCCTTTTATAACGAGTCAGTGAATTACTTAACATATTTTTGTTTTCAAAGGGGAAAAAGGGGAAGAAATATTATAACCCATCTGGATTTTGTTTTTTATAATCTCAAAGGTAGGGTTCTTAGGAGAGAATAAATCTGGTAGGTCAGAAAGTGTTGTAGAAAAATCCCAAGGCGGGACCTAGAATGAGATCCATTCACATTTGTATTGGAGAGTCTATTGACTGTAAGGAAACAAAAATAAAATAAAATAAAATAAAAGAAAAGACTAACCCAAACTGACATAAACAAAAATGTATTGGTCTGTGCAAGTGCAACTTAAAAATTTAAGGGTAGAGCTTGCTTTAGACTTAGCCATATCCAGATAGATGCTCAAACAATGTGACCACGATTCAGCTTCTCTGTTTTCCCACTGCTCGGGTCTGTTTCTCTTGCTGTTGGCTCCATTCTTAGTCAGGTTTTGTCCACATGGCAGCAGCAAGGCTGCCAACAGTTTTAGGCTTCCCTTCTAAGCATTCTCAGGAGAAAAATATCCTACCTCAGGTTTTGGGGGGGGGGGTGTTTCTAATTGGACCAACTTGGGTTGTATACCAAAGGCAAGGGATAGTCTGATTGGCTAGAGCTGCCTTTTGACTGCATTGGATCCTGAGGGAGAAGTTGGCCTTGGCCAAGTTACATGAATTGGATGTACAAGAGCCAGGTATCCTAAAATAGTGGTTCTCAACCTTCCTAATGCTACAGCACTTTAATACAGTTCCTGTGGGTTGTGACCCACAAGTTGAAAACTGCTGTCCTAAAAGGAAAATAGAAGAGGGAGAATGGGTGTAGGGAAGGAAATCAACAGATACCAGGGACATGGTATCTTCCATTTACTGACTATATAACCTAGGACAAGGTGAACGAGAGCACAATAACTACACTCAGCTTCTTCAGCTGAGAAATGATAATGATTATGGTGATGCCAACTTCCCAGGGTTGGCCCAATGAATAGAGAAAATAATAGAAATGGAAAATGCCACAATGCCAAGCATAGAATTGCTACCCACTAAGTTTGGCCAAACCTGATTGTAGACTGGTCCTACCTGTTAGAGCAGACTGTTAGAATCTAAGAGCACCTTGGAGGTCATCTGATTTAAACCTTGACCTCCTGCCCATGTTTTAGATTCAGAGGAAACAATGAGTCTGAGTTAGAACAGCTTACCTCAGATCACACTGTTAAAAAGCAGCTGATCTGAGACTTAGACATAGGATTTTGAATGCCAGTTCCAGTGTCTCACCATCTGGGGTTTCAAATGATGCTTTTCTTCTACAGCCTGCTGCCTCTGTGCATGATAGTCCATCTTGCTAACTTTAAGATAAAAGCTGGGCCATACACAGTAGCTCACGCCTGCAAACCTAGAACTTTGGGAGGCTGAGACAGTAAGATTATTTAAGGCCAGGAGTTTGAGACCAGCCTGGACAACATAGTGAGACCCTGTCTCTACAAAAAATAAGAATAAAAAATTAGCTGGGTGTGGTGGCACGTGCCTGTAGTCCCAACTTGAGAATCTGAGGCAGAAGGATCACTTGAGCCAAGAGTTGGAACTTGCAGTGAGCTATGATAATACCATTATATTCCAATCTGGGCTAACAGGGTGAGACCCTGCCTCTGAATTAAAGAATGAATGAATACATAAATAAATAATGTGAAAGCAACATATGTTATTTATTAAGGCCTTATTGGATGCCAGGCACCATGCTATTTTCATTACATAACCTCATTCCGTCTTCACCACAATCCCAAGAGATTGTGGTAAAAGGGTATTATCTCTGTTAACAGTTCAGGAAGCTGAGGCCAGTATCTCACAGTACGTAATAGAGCAGGAGTCCATGCTCAGCAATTTGACATTAGGGCTAAGGTTCTTCTTCTTCTTCTTTTTTTTTTTTTTTTTT